AGGTTGTAGCTCGGCAAACTACGCTGGGAAAAATTGGTTTTGGCTAGCTTTCCTTTGCGGTTGTCAAATTTGCGTGTGACAATAGAGCCGAGAGACTTGAGCGTTCTCAGGTACCTCAAGCAATAGTTTTCCCTCCCTGGCAAAAATCCATTGTGCTTGCTGAGCTGGCTCCTGATCTTCGTACGAACGACCAAACTTATTGCTGGTGCCCTTCCACTACTAGGAGTGAGGACTCTACTAGGGGCTCCTGGCCTTACTACGGCTTACTACGAGGAGCGAGGACTCTACTAGGGGCTCCTGGCCTTACTACTAGGAGCGAGGACTCTACTAGATCTACTAGAGGCTCCTGGCCTTGCTACTAGGAGCGAGGACTCTACAGGGGCTCCTGGCCTTACTACTAGGAGAGCGAGGACTCCACTAGGTAGAGGTCCTAACCCAACCATTGGAAGGGACAAAACTGGTCCCCAACAAGGTTTACCCTTCGTAGCAGAACAAACTACACGAACAAAAATTGTGTGAACCACAAAAGACCCACTGCAATCGCTCAGTTCCACTAGCCAGAGCCTTCTCGCGCGCAGGTGGACACGTGGCTTCAGCTTTGGTCGCCCCTGGCTGGCCAGCGTGTTGGCTGGCTGGGGGCGTTAGGGCACAACGACGTCACCATAATTTCGTTAATTTCGACGACGTCACTAAATTCAGTTTTGAATTTAACGAAATTAACCGACGACCCAGGAATTATTTTATATATATTGCCCAGATTAATCAATATGATGTTCATGTTCTTTTTGCCAATCGACTTCCTCTTTCGGGATGGCGGGATGTTGGTCTTTCTTTCCTCCCTGAATGCGTTTGTTTTTTTTAATGCTTCCAGACTTCCAGCCTTCTTCAAGCGCCTTAAGCCTTCAGCCCTCCTTCAATCTTCAGCCAGGTGTGTGGATTGAAGCTTCCAGTACTATGGCCTGACGAGATGAGATGGTGGGGCCGGCTCTTGAGCCATGGCGTGTGGTTTAGGGGTCCGTCACAAACGGTGGTCCGGTGACAGTGACAGCGCACCAACGGTGCCAGACGGTGGGAGCTTTGCGACCCGATGTTCATGGATCTCAAGATGTTCTACATAAAGTCCCGGTGCAAACGGTCAGGTGTCTAAGCAAGGTAGATCTCATAGCTCCCTTTGAAAATAGGATATCCAATGATATCCAAAGAGTGGCAGAGATTCGCACGATTCGCACGGACGAAATCCTTCTCTCTGAGGAAGTTCGGGCTGCCAGTTTGGTCGAAGACGTTCTCCGATTAGTCGCCGTTGGCTTTTCATCTGTCATGAAGACATGTGATGACTGATCAGGTGCTTGATTTGGACCACTGAGGATATCAATGGACAACTTGACGTACTTCTTGTGGTTCTGGACCGCCTTCTTTTGGATGCTAGGAGTGGAAGTTTGGCCGGGTGGTGCTTGCTGTCGCTTTGGCACACTCCAGTCGGCGTAGTGTTTGACCTTTGGCACCTGCCGTGCCAGGTTTTTGGGGTGATGGCATTGACAGTGGGCCACCTCCCAACAGAAAAATAGAGCTTGCAGAAGCTGTGGAACTCTCAGATTGCTATGGGCGACTACCTGAAGTTGGGCTTTTCCGCCGAGCCGGCGGCCCAACAGGTTTGACGGATTTCCTTTGACTGCAGAGGGTTCTTGGAGAGGTTGCATTCCATAGCTTTAATGTTTGGTTGAAGGTGCCCCCAACAAACCAAACATTGCACATATGGCCATGTGGGGCTTTACTTGACACATGAAGTGCGGTGATGTTCCCTTCAACCCCACCTAATCCAGGATGAGACCCACTCCACCAATCATCACCCATCCCAGGATCGGCTTCAACTACTACAGCATCTTTGCTAAGCGGACATATCACTTCTCCTCCACAGGCAACACAAATGCGCCGTTTGTTGGGCGCGTGCGGACGGGCGCCCCTGGAGTTTAGCGCGGTTATATTGGGCACCACCGAAGTCAAAAGGAATGAATGTTCCTGTCACTGTCTATTAAAAGACGGAGACGTGTCTACTTTCAGGATGTGAACTTGAATGTGTGTGCAGGTCTAGAAATCGCAAGTATCACGAGGGTGTGCATAGCGGAGCAAGTGACCTCCATGAAAAATATCTGCACTCCGGGCGGTTTTTGTGCAGATGATGCAATGCAGGTGGTATGGCGCACGAAAAGCATTCAAGACAGACAGGGAAGCAGGGAAAGAGGTGAACTCCTCCCTTCACCAGAAGTGCAGAAAACCAATCACCAAGCAAACAACTTTAAACCAAAGAAGCACAGCTATATACAGTAAGTGCAAACAAATGTTACAGTTATGGTTATGGTACCTGCTGGCCGTTCCCCCCCCCCCCGCAGCCAAAAAAAAACACACACACACACAAGAACGCTTCTACATCCCTGCGATGGTCAGGTATGTTCTCCTTTATGCTGGCTGTGCAGCTTCTCAGCTGGGGCATGGTCATCGCCGCCTCCATGCGCTACACGCTGTCCACGTCAATGGAGGCGTCGTCGGTCGAGCGAATCGCGTCGGTCGCGGTCGGGTGTCGTCGAGTGTGTGTTTTTCTCGAAGCTGCTGAAGACGAGAGGCGAGAGAATCTGAGATGGGTCTGTGGATCCTGTAGGTTTCCTTTTTTTCCTGGGAAAGTTGGATGGAGAAGGACTTATTTGGGGCGAACTGCCAAAGCGGACCGCAATTTTGGAATCAGGATTTCCTCCAACAGCAGGGAAATCCACTTGCGCCCGGCTGCCTCCCACAGTTTTTGTTCTTTTCATCCACCTGGCCGAGCGCACTGGAGTGCACGTGGCTTTGGCAAGGCCAATGAAGTGATCGGCTTGTCGATGGATAACCTGTGGCGATCCACACAGCTCTTCTACATCTCTGCTCCTTTGCTCTTGTATTCCATCATTAAAGGCAGGGGAAGAGTTTGGCTAACTCCGAAGGTGAAGGGGCGGACATGACGCCGCAGCATGAGGTTGAGGGAGAGTACGGTGCTCGAAGGTGGATTCAAATGGGATGTGCAAGAAGTGTGGAGGATACTGAATCAGACCAAACATTTTACAATTTGGTTTGCCCGCTGGTGTGCAGTTTGGAGCCTTTGCACTTTTTGGGCCGAACATGGTCGAGTGAAAACAGCTGTGCAGGCATAGTATCCATGCATGGCGGCCCAAGCGTACATAGTCAACGATGGGCACGTCGAAAACCAACAAATCTAGCTTCAAGGCCCACTTATTGATTGACCAAGTCCCACCCAATCGACTGGAAAAGACCGTATAAAAGAGGAGAGTGAAAAGAACAGGTGATGAAGCGAATCAGGTTCCCTGTCTCCCTCCTACGGACCGTCGCCGCCGTCCAGGCATCCAGGATTATATGCGCTATCAGATGTACGGCGAGGACATCAGCTTTTGGGTCGGCGGTGACCGCGGCGTCATGTCCACGAATCTTGTTAAGTGTCTCGGATGCGGTGGGTTTTAGGAAGAGCCTCCCACAAGCAGTAGGAGAATAAGAGGAAAAGCCAGTCGTAAGGGAATTCCTTTTTGAGACATACTCTTGGAAGACCTGGGAAGACTATGTAACAAGCATGCAGCGCCCGCCTTTGTTCCTGGCAGCTTCCCACTGGCAAAGCTGGTCTTGCCCAGGTATTGGACTTTGTTCCTCATTTTGGGTGCCATTGGCGCCTGGATCTACTACAGCATCGAAGGGCGAAAACACACAGGCGGCTGCCTCGTTTGCCGAGAGCTGCGCCTGGCGAAGCAATCACGGCATTCAGAGTGCTATCGTTGCTTTTTTTGACCTTACTACAGTGCTACGCACCAATGAGAGGAGTTGATTAACGTGGGTGTCGAGGAACGTGCAATAGGCTTTTAGGTTTGACCATTTAGTTCTCGTGGTTGATGTAGTCAAGCGACCGGTCCTCACGGCGCGATAGTATAAATATATAGGTCCCAATTCAAGGATGGGCTGAACTTCTTTGTGGCCCGATTTGCTCCAGAACGTCCAGGTGTTTTATCTGCGGTGATCATCGTGACGTTGATCGCTCTCGATGCTCGGACTGGGACTGGGCCGGGCTCACGGGTAATTACTCGTGGTTTGATCCCCGAGACTGGATCCGCGGACTCGTTTTTTCGAAGTCTCCAGAAGTACTTCTGGATGTGAACAGGATCTATCCAGCACATGGATGTACAATGAACCGTATTAGAACATCTGGGCAGTGGACTCGTTGTCAGCCTGGGCAGCCTGAGTATGCACGACGGAGACTCCAGGAGGAGCATTCGCTGGCCGATTCTTCCGCTTCAAGTGACGAGTGGGGAGAGTGGGGCACCCCACATAGATTTCGATAAAGTCTGTGTTTGATGGATTTTGTGTTTGTCCACCGTGTGACATCTCAGAAGATCCAAAACCACCTCCGCCCGGATCCAAAACCTCCGAACTCCGAGGATGTGCTGCATCCATGCACTTACTTGTGGGTTGGCCGTACCAAGATGACCAAAGAGAAGGCGGCCCAGCTCACTTGGAGCCAGGCCATTGTGCCTCGTCCGATTTGGCACGCGACCGGAGTTCGTCGTCGGAGTGTGGGCGTTCGTCTACAGTTCAACTTCAACCCTCGGCGAGAGGGTTTGTTCAACTTCACGAATATAGAAAGCATATCGAATGCGTATAAAGAGAGATTATATAGAAAGATATAGAAAGTTACCAACACGTAATGGCTCAACGGAACAACAAACATCTCGGCTCGCTTGCCCTGCCCTAGCCGCTAGCCGTGAGCTGTCCATTCCGAAGTGAAATGCAATTATATACTGTAGAATGTACACCATCAAAAGTTTGAGTGTTGACCCCTATTATACCATCTACTAATATATTTCTATTATCTATCCCTACTACCATCTCTATACGTGTATAGGTGCCCCTGGAAGAATCTCCACATCCTTGCAAATCCGCTGACCCCTAACTTGCCGCATAAAAAAACCGTACAGGGACCATCAGGGACCCATTTTAGTTGACCCATGTTGACCCATTTCGTCCGTACCTGGAACCATTGGGTTCGGCTCTGAGGTGACACGCGGCTGGTGGGAGGTGATGATCGGCAAGCTGATCTTGAACCAGACGGCCACTCAGCGTTCGACGACTGGTGGGCGTTCTTGTTGGGCGCCCCAAAATTAAGGCTCTAATCATTTGCACTGCTAGCCACTAGCTAGCTGTACTAATTTTAATTGACTCTTAAGTTGGGTAAGAAGTGAGTGCGAGCACTCACTTTGTGGGTCTAATTAAAATCAATTGATATATAGTTGATAAACTGCTCTATGTTTTGCCCTGAGATGTCGGGTTGTTGAGAAATGGCCCATGGGGCCCGTGGGTCTAGTGACTGAGTTTTGTTTGAGTGACAAGCGGTGTAATCTGTGTAAACCTTCCAATCCTATGCATGAAGCATGGCGACCTTCTCCCAAGTGAGAGATGTCACCTGCCCCGGTGCTCAAAGAGCTATGTTCATTGTTTTTGTGATGCCAAATTCCGAAAACAAACGTAGGAACGCTGAATAAGGCCAACACGGACAAAAGGGACACATCTCCCAATCATTGCCTGACTGACCAGGTCACCGGCGTAATGAAGTGGTTGGGGCCAGCATGGTTCGTGTTGATGCCCTTCTTGACCTTGGTGATGCCCTACATCGGCGTGAACCAGGCCTTCATGATGATCGGATCCACGACGAACCGCTGAGGATCGGATCCACCACCAGCGGATCCTTCGTGAAAGGTGGTGCCTTGGAGCGGATGGATTGGGGGGCTCGTTTCCGGCTGAGAGGGGTTGAGATAGGCAAGATTCAAGATGTATGATCAAGCACACAAGCCCTTCTAAGCCTTATCCATTCGTTTGGGGTTGGGATGGTTGCCATCAATTAGATAGAGGGATGTGAACCCTGCGAACGATTCTTCCGGAGCCCTGTGCTCAGTGCTTGCCCCAGAGAGGAGAAAGCCACACAACTGCAGAGCACAACCTGTGCCAGTTGCGTCATGTGGTTCGACCCAGCATGCATGGGCACCGAATCTGGGAGCCAACGGCACATCAACCAGTTAGGCCTTCAAAGGCGGGGAGGGTACATGTTTAGCAGCAGCACTTCTTTTTGGACGCGAGACGACCGGAATGTAGGGTGTTGGTGGAACTTGCGTAAAGGCATACCTTTCTATCCTGTCTTTTTCTCCAGAGGAATCGGTGATACAGCTGCTAGGACGCTAGGACTGGCGCCTTATTTGCCCGATGTGTGCTCAGGTTCTTTGGGATACCGCAGCTCCGAGCGAAGTTGGGAGGGGGCCGGGCTGGCTGATATCCATCCAAGATGGTTGGTCGAACTACAGTGCAGCAACGGACCTCGCAAAAGTCAGACTCAGCTCGAAAGTTAGAGCAGTTTGACCAGCCAGATGGAGGGATCCTACACTACTTTTCGACTGAAATAATGCTAAAACTACCAGATGAAAGAACACAAAACGCATAACTACATGCATGTGATTATCAAAATCCCATACAACAAGAGACAGTGGCACCAGCATGCCTGAAGTTCCCCTCCATGTTTAAACGGCAATCAACGCCAGCAGCCATGAATATGTTTTTTCTCTCCGAGTTGCCCGCGCGAAGAAGCACGGTTGCAAACTCACTTTGGACAGCTTGCAGCATATAGCATATGAAGCTGGCATGAAACACGCATTTGCTACATTTGTTCCAAATTTGCGTGTGTGTATTTTTGATGTGCTGGCAAATATGCTGCAGGTGTTCTTGAGATGGTGGGTGTGTCTTAAATCTCTCATTTTTTGGTGGCCAGGGGCACAAGTCTTTGTCGGCCACGTGGGTTTGCGGTGCTGATTTACCGCTGACAGTAGCTTTAGGACAGTTTTGGACATCGGGGCTGTCCTGCCATCCATGCGTGGGTTGGTTTGCAGGAACTCCTTGGCGTGGTCATAATGCATTTTCGGGCAGAAGCAGTCGGGGAGTGGGAGGGAGTTCCCTAATCACTCTAATCTAATGGGCTTTGGAAGTCCACAGGCGGCACGGATGTTAATTGCGCCGAACCACCCTTTGCACATGACAAGGATTGAGTGTCGGATCATTGACCTGCAATTGGTTAATTAATTGTTAATATATATATATATTAATATATATATATATATATGTGTTAGTATTGGTTAGCCTGTAATGGTAATGAGGAAGAACAACATCGCCAAGCACACTGCGTGAATCATTCCATGAAGTGTTGAATATCCTACACTTGGGTGTTGGAATAGCCCGAAGTTTTAATTCAAGAAGCGCGCGGCAAGCGGCCACAGTAGGTTAGGTGATAGGTTAGGACAGTTTTGGCGGCGCGAAGAAGGGGCAGAACTTTTGAGGGATTTTCCGAAGATGTCTCAACGAAGGCACATCCTCAAGCACCGACGCTGCAAAAAAGGCATGATTTGCGTGAATTGGACTCTTTGACAAAGCCGGTTTCCTGTTCTTAGAAACGTTTCAAGAAACTTGACCTTCGTTGTTTTCAGTGCCACAGTGCGGCCCTCCAACAAAAATACTCCAAAAGACCATTGGTTGTTGCTCGTTGGCGATCTACTTTTGAATGAACAACCACTTGCACCGTGACATACCGTGACACGCTGAGGTCGAATACGTTATTTTTGTTTCTTTCGACGCTTCCGAGGTCGTGGGCAGGACGGGAGGGAGAAACCTGCGCGATCTGAAGTATAGTGGCCCCCCAATAGATAGACATAGAATCGGATTCCAATACTTTCTGAAAGGTGATTCTACATTTCTATCTATTTGGGGGTATTAAAATGATTTGGGTGATTCCAATACTTTCTATCTATTCTGAGGGGTCTGTATGCTGGACGTAAAATGTGATTCATGAATCTTCCAGTGTCAGCCGCGATGGTCGAGGCCGCCTTGAGCGCCAAGCGCCGTAAGCCCAGCAGTGAGACGGAGTGCGCCCAGCCGCGCCACGAGAAAAGGGTCGTCACGAGAAAATGGCCAAAAAAGCCTATAATAGCAATCAAGAGTAATCAAGAAACAAGAAACACAACAAAACCATAGAGACTGACAGTGACATCCAATCAAGTCGTCATGCCCACTAAGAGAAGAGTCACATGAGGAAACACCAACACAGCTGACGAGTTTCGAGTGATACAACTCGAGTGGCCATGCTTTCGGTGAGCAAAGACTGAAAAACGTCCAGAGAGACGGAGAATGGTTAGATATTTGACTGCCGTTTAGACGGCGTCCAGGTGAGCACAAACCAGTGGCGTCCAGGTTGAGTGGAAACGGAGTTCGAACCTTTTCGGGACGCCGACGAACCGACAGCCAGACGAGGATAGGGTTGCTTCATGTTGCTTCGTTCGGATGGACGACTGATTGACATAGTCGCCATGTCGTGAGACTGTGCTGTTCTTCTCCCACACTGGAAGCCCCACAAAGATAGATTCCAGATTTCCCTGCAATCATGGCGCTGGATCGTACAGGGTGTAATTTGTTTATGTCATGTATGTTTTTCCCAAGGGGGTCAAAGAATCGTTTTTCTGCGAGTTGACATGGCCGATGTTCTTTCGAAATATTTCGAACACTTGACTCTTGACAATACATAATTACTTGACATTCATGTGCATCAATGGCGATTTGTCCTTAGGTGATTCCTATTTTCCTGCAGTTTTCCTCGAGGAATGATCTCTTCATGGTAAAGTGCTCACCTGGAGCAATCGTGGAAGTCATGTTTCTTTCGCGCCTCTTTGGGGGGTGATTTGGCATTCGCGAACAGACTTGGCTCGTGACATCACTTGCGGCATGACAGCGTCTAGGGAATGCGCATCCCAAGTCCTCATACCAACCATTGCGAGGTCCATTCTTATCAGTCCAAGAACACACTTGCGACCGTTTGTCAAGTTTGCCCAGTTCTCGAGGTGGCCGAACTTTGCAAGAAGTTGGTCAGTTCCTTCTACTGTAACAAAATTCTAATGACTGACCAATAATAACCTTAGTCCTTAGTCAGCCGCCTTGTCGAAATTGGAGTGCGCTCAGGATGTTCAGCTTTCAGCTGGCTCGAGAAGTTTTCGCCAGTCACCACCCAAAAAAGAAACTGCAGAACTGCCACCCGAGCAGTTGTGGTTTTAACATAGAGTCCTCTCGCCAGTACCGTAATGTGCGAAGGCTTTGCAATTTATTGAATAGACAACAGGCCGGTATTCATATAAGTGAGATGGAGTGTTTAGAAACGCACGTGATTGTCCGCTACTCATCACTGTTGCTACTGGAGCAAGCACTGTGGATATCTGTGGATTCAGGTACTGACAACGCAAAGATGTTGCCAGTGTCCATCACAGAAGCCCTACACTATTTGATACCTATGCAACAAAACCCTCCGCTGCGGTGTTGACCCGGCCTACACTGCAAGTTGTTTTTGCAACGGTATGAGGGTTATCGGCAAAACAGATACAGTATGCCAAATGGTAGGTTTTGCATGCGTGTGCTGCTCAGAGGAGCACCAACCACAAGGCGTGCTTGTCACGAATCATACTGTATGTAGAGTATCATGAGTGATGAGGGGCAGCCTTACTGGACCACTTTGTGATGTTTGAAACGGTCTTGACATGTCATGTTGCCGAACCTGGCAATTCTTCCGCCGGTACCTTTGGTGTCATGGAGTTGAACTGATAGGATTTTACCACCGAAAGAATTGGCCTCATCCTGTGTGTGAATGAATCGACAGGCATGGGCTTACTTGTGATTCTGCAACGACATAATATTTGTTATCCCTGGAGTTATCCCTATCAAAATTAGCAGCCCTCCGCTTGAGCCTCGGAAAAACAAAAGACACTTGGTCGAGTGACTTTTCCCCAAATCGGGCGACCGCCAAAGATGGAAGCCAGCGACTTCGGTTCCCTAGGAACCACTTCGAAAAATGAGAAAGAGATTGACTCTAAATAGAAGGGTCTTCCCTTTCCCCAATGAAGGTGGCAACAACTCGGAAGTGTTGGGGGCATTCTAGATTTGAGAAGTAACTGCGGTAATTAAACGTCAAAGGCAAACACACTGCATTTAGAGGTTTCCGACATAATGTTTGTTCAATTGTGCAGTGTGTTTGAATGTACACTCAGAATGAATTCTCAGTGACCAACGATGACCAAGGCCTTGCTCCAGATTGTGGCTTTGTTCCATCTATACAGGTGTCAGATGGGTTCCAGACGTGTGTGTACAGGTGTGGAGCACACAGATATGATATTATATATAGCCACATAACACAAACATATCATGTATTTACTTACACATATATACACATGCACACACATGATATGCCACAACTATACATTATACGTGCATGTTTGTGTAACCCCCAGGTACCTTCAAAGGTGCTGACATGCAGACGCGGGACTCTGTTTGTCGACGGGTGGGGGACCTGAGGAGTCCACCGTCCAAATCGAAAAGAAGAGCGGCCCTTTTGGTGATGTGTGGGTGAAAACATGGCCTTCCAACCGTTCGATGCTTTGGAGTAGCCGAAGCATAAGGAATCATCAGTTGAGTAGCATCTCAAATCCCAATGCACAAAAGGATAGGCTGACCGCTTGATTGAGTACCATCACTGGTTTCATTGCGATTGTTTAAGCTGTTGGTCACAGGGTGAGCTGCAAGCCGTAGAGGACTACAAAAAACTACACCAAGCCTGTGATGACCGTTGAACCGCAACGCCGCGACCA